CAGACTGCTACTATTATTATTACTAGTACTAGTACTAGTACTAGTACTAGTACTAGTACTAGTACTACTAGTAACTATACTAGTACTACTAGTACTAGTACTAGTACTACTAGTACTAGTACTAGTACTACTACTACTACTACTACTACTACTACTACTACTACTACTACTACTACTACTACTACTACTCCTGCTACTACTACTGCTACTACTACTACTACGACTACTACTACTACTACTACTACTACTACTACTACCACTACTACCACTACTACTGTCGCGACTGGCAATACTTACTAGCAGTACTTAGTAGTAGTACTAGCAGTACTAGCAGGAGGAGTAGTAGTAGGAGTAGGGGTAGGAGTAGGGGTAGCAGTAGCAGTAGCAGTAGCAGTAGAATCAGCAGGACTCGGACTGGGACAGGGGTAGCAGAACCAGTAGCAGCAGTAGTAGCAGCACTGCGACGACCTTCACTATCATCATCCCCATCAGAGCTTTCATCAGCACGGCTTATCTCATTGCAACCACCATACCGTCGTCCTTTCTTTCGTTCTCCTCCTCGTCCTTCTCCTGAGTCTCCAGGTCATGTTCATTCCGTTTACCATCACCATCTCTCATTCTCGCCCCGGCTGCTTACCTTGGTGGTTGTCATCTTGATGATCAAGATCATCGCAATTGGACATTGCATATCGTGGCGTCCTCCTCCCCCTCCTCCTGCTGCTCCATCGCATCCCTTTGTGCCTCCATCGCAGGTGGCATTGCCAACGAAGAGTGCGCCGTACTCAGTCACACCCACTCCTGCTGCGATACGTAGTGCCCTGGAGCACATCTCGCAGTGGACTTCCCGCAGTGTCTTGCTGCCCAGCGTGTTGGACCATCATCTACACAGATCAGTCCCGGGCTCCCCCGTCACCCAGTCTGAAGCCAGTCGTACCACCGATGCCCAGAGACATAATTCCGCACCAGTGCTGATGTCCTGAAATCTGAAGCCCATGAACCTGCAATGAGACATTTTCGCCTGCTGAAGTCCTTAAATCTGCAACCCGGAGCCCTCGGACCCCAAACCCTGACAAAAAACGACTCTAAATCCTATAAAACGACCCTAAGTCCTAAAATCCGATAGCTGAGGCCCCTGAGCGCCTCCAGGCAGAGGCGGCTCAGCTCCGGTCGCGTCTCGAAGCCGCAAAGGCCGAGGCTCCGCGCGTTGGCTCTTCCCAAAGATCCCAATACTTGGAGGGTCGGGGGACTTAGTAACTATAAGGGGTTCCTTAAGGGCTCCTTTAAAGGGATCTATAGGGATTCTATAAGGGATCTATAAGGGTATAGGGTTTAGGGTTTGGGGGACTTAGTAACTGGTTATTTTAGGGACTTATAAGTACCATAACCCCAAGTAGGGTCCCTTTTAGGGTTCTTATAAGTCCGCTTACTAACTACTTACTGAGTCCCCCGACCCCCCAAGTACCCCTTAATTAAGAAATACCTAGGGTTAGGGTTCCTTAAAGGGGTTCTATAAGGGATCTATAGGGTTTAGGGTTTAGGGGATTCTAATGCCTTAATGAAGGAATATACCTTAAAACATAATCTATTAATTTAAGGTATATTCCTTCATTGAGGGGTATTGGGTTCTCTGGGTCTCTCTGTCTCTCTGACTCTGTCTCTGTGTCTGTGTCCCTCTCCCTCTTTCGGTTCCTCATGTTCACAGGTTCCGGAGAGACGTAGAGGTGATGACGAGGCAAAGTGGGGAATAACTAATTGCGAATCTCCAAGTGTGACGGCAGGAAGAAGGAGAGAGGAAGAGAGCGACATATATACAAGTCGGCATGACTTGCCTAGGACATCCGAACTTGAAGCAGCGCTGCATGTAGGTGCGAAAGTTCTCACCTGTATACAGCTCATTATGAGCTCATGGATCATATTCCATTAGTTTTGCAACATATTTTTTTCTGGCAAAAGCTATCCTTACATCACAATGGTTTGGAAGGTAGAGCGGAAGCACGTGGCCTGGAGCCGGGTCTCCAAGGGACCCGAGGCCGGGTGCGCCTGAGAGGTCTTCGCTTGGTGGTATGTCGTGGCTTTTCAGGGCTCCGGGCTTCAGGCTTTAGGGCACTTTTAGGGCTCTGGGCTTCAGACTTTAGGGCATTTTAGCCTTGAGAGTTTTAGGGTTGGGTTTTTTTAGCGCATTTCAGGCTTGAGGGCTTCAGGCTTGAGGCTTTGGGGCAGTCGGGGCTTGAGGATACACTGCTTTGGCAAAGGTCCCATGGCGTCGCACTGTGTCTTCAGCTGAAGTCCATGTCTGACTCAGTTCTAACGTAGTGACATAGGGGTTATGGCGAGCGTGCAAGGCTCTCTTAGGATTTTGGCACGAGCAAAAAGTTTGTTTTTTGAGATACCGCAAGCAAAACGCGCGAGAGCAGCTGAGAGTTAAGTGGCCAACAGGCAGCACAACGTCCTCCCGGAGACATCGAGCGCCTGGAAGCGCCTGCCTTGGTGGGAGGGTTGGCCGTGCCCATGTCCTTGTCTCTCAAACCATGGGTCTAGGGCAAGGAGATGGGCTTGGGGTTACCAGCTTCAGCTTTTTGCACGCAAGTCGAGACGGGAGGCTAGGACTACAGTAGGAGTCCTGGTTTCAGTTTGAGCGTCTGGCAGTACCAGATCGGAAGCCTTGAAGACCAATGTGGATATGATATATATATATATATATATATACATATCTATACTGTTCACCACATCATCATCAGCAACTTAGCGCTCACAATCACAGGGTAGTCACAACAGAGAGCAATCCGTTGTCACCGCCTGAAACTTGAGCCTTCAGCTCAAATCAGGCGCGGCTGGCTCATGCAGAGGTGGGAAGCGTGTAGAGAGTAGAGTCGCTGGCATTTAGCGATCACGGTTCAGGGCCCGTCCGGAAACAATCACAGCCTGTTGCCGGACGACAGAAGTACGGGTTTTGGGAGCGTGTGTGTCCGAGATCCGACTCAAGAGCGCTGCAAGAACGACTGACACCTCAGTGCGAATCTTTCGTTGAATGTTGGCAAGGACCGATGCCATGAGGACAAGCCCGACAGAACCCCAAGTGTAGACCTTGGGCGCCATACTGTGGACTGGACAACGACATGCACAACAGAATGAAATAGCACCAGCAAAAGCGAACAACAATGTTAGAGAGTAGAGAAGAGCCCTGCGCCCCCAACATAGACACCTCGTGGCAGACGGCCGAAAGGAGTACAACGGATTATCGAGTACATATCTTTTGCACAGCTCCACTCTCGAGCTACTTTTGAAGGCGGATGCTGAAGCACAGCGATCGCTGGCACAGGCAGCCAAGCTGGAGGCTCTCGCTTTCAGCGAAGATTGCGGGGGTACGGTGGTTTCGGGTCCGAAGACCCCACACACGTGGCGCTGCCAGATATGCCCGGCCCTGAATGTCCTGAGTAGCTTGCAGCCCGAAACCTTGAAGTTCCTGAGGCTCAGGACTACTCCGCGGAAGAATCGTGGTTTGAAGCAGGTTGCATGTGCAAGCATACAGATTTCGCAAGGCCCGGAATCCAAAACTGCATTAGCTCCAGGTGCATGCATCCGTTGTCCCCGAGTCAGACACCGTACACCCCTCTCTACCCAGAGGCCAAAATCACAGGAGCCTCGATCCCAAAGTGGTCGGCCCCAAACCCATATTCTCGCTTCAGCCCCTGGAAAAGAGCAGTAATCCCAAAGCCGGAACACCCTGAAATAACCCTTGCAAACTCAACGCTGAAGGATAGAACCCGTGAAGAACCAGTACCTTTAAGCTAAACCCTAATCCCCTAAGCTCAAGGACCCTAAACCCCAAACCCAGAAAAGCCCATGGCCCAGAACCCTCAAGCCCTGAAGCCTAAAAACCCTGAACCCCTAAACTGAAGACCCTAAACCCTTAAAAGCACCGGAAACGCTCAACTGTCTGGTGCTTAGTAGGGAATGGGGGAATCGATTCCTGCAGTAGTCCCTAAAGAATCCCCAATAATAGTTCCCATAATCCATTCCCCCATTCCCTACTACTTTGTCATAGTTAGGTAACAATTTACATTCTTATGGGTACTTAAACCCACTAAGGAATAAAAAATGCACATTTTTATAGCCTATCCCAACAATGAACTAGACGAAGCACCAGAGAGTCAAGCCCTGAAGGTGGCGAAGCTGCAAGGGCTTCTGGAAACCTCAAGAGCGGAGGCCGACACTCTATGGGCGAGTAAGGGTTTACTACAAGGGTTACTATAAGGGCTGCTACCCAGAAACCCGGGAGGATCTAGAAAGTAGATCCCCGAATTTGGGGCCCTGTACTACTCAGGGTGCTTCATAGGAGCCCCCATTAAGGGATCTACTTTTTGGATCCTTCTGGGGGTCTGGGTATCAGGGTACTATAAGGACTACTGTAAGAGTTACTCTCAGGGGTTGGAGCCTTCAGAGTTTGTGTTTTACTGTTTTTAAGCGATTAACGGGCGGGTTTGGTTTGGGTTTTTGAGAGGGTTTTTGGTGTAGAGGTTTAGGGTTGAGGGTTTCTAGAAAGGGGGGTTTGGATTGGGTTCTAGAAGGTTTTATAAAGAGCTTGGTAAGAGCTTGTAGGAGTTTTGTGCAGTGTTCGAGCAGGTTCTACATGACGTATAAGGGTTTACCGCGTTCACTAAGTTCGCGACAGTATTTGAATTTGGGACCGATTTCTGGGTTTGGTGTGTAAGAGGCTTTGGGGTCTTGAGGCTTTTCGGATAAACAGGAGATTTCGTTGTCTTGTCTTTGGTCTTTTGTAGGAGGATGACGGTGTCTTGCAGACTGGAGTGGTAAAACCCGACTTTTTTTACATATTTGCTCCATATTTGGGCCTTAGTCTGCAAGTCGCAGGAAGCAGAGCTCTTCCAGGGACGTCACATCTAGAGTCCCTCGCAGAGGGTCGGTTGAACCTTCAGCATATTGCTGGTCAATCAGTGCCGGATGCCCAAAACCTCAAAGAACCCCAGTTTCAGGACCCCATGCCCAAAGACCCTCTCAACCTCAACTCAACACCGCAAGCCCCTGAGGCCATCCACTTGCGAAGCTGCCTGGCACCGCAAGCGGACGCCACCCCCGCGCACCCCGACTGCAGACGGTGCTATCCGTCTCTCTCTCTCTCTCTGTCTCTGTCTGTCTGCCCGAAGCCGAACTGCATGCTTTTTCGTACCACTCAACCCAGCAAAGGCCTCGATCGTAACTTTGGCATCTCAGTATCAGGATAGGTTGCTGTTGCAGTAGCTTCCTGTTTCAGGCTCTGGAGCATCTGGTGGTACGGCCAAGAGGAGTACATTCTGGGCTAGGGCTAGGCTTGAAGCAGAAGAGCCGGGAGCAGATTTTGAAAGCCAGGTGGCAATTCGGTGAACTCAGGTCCAACCAGATGGATGAGCTTGTGTCCAGGCCGTCCGCAGAAGAGTTGCAGCGGGAGCTGGCAGAAGTCCAGCGAAAGCTGCAGGACACAGCATTTAGAGATCATCGTTTTCCTGCTGGAAAGCTGCTTCAGGGTTATGATCAGGTACTGTTTCTGCTGCTGTCCGACATCGCATACATACATGTATCCACTTGCATTGCAGAAGTTTATCGACCTGTTCAATCTGCCTTCGTGCATGTCACTAATTAAGGTTGCTCATGGCAGCTACCGTCAGCTACCGTTGTCACTTGCACGTTCTTATTTTGGAGAGCTCCTTCCGTCAATAGCAGCAGATTCTTGCCTTTTTGCATTTACCAGTGTTTTAAGATTGAGATGGTTGCCTTGGTATCTTGGTGGTGTTGGTACGTATGGAGATAATACGATGAATGTTACGAAGTTCGTACTTGGCCATAGGATGATTGCAGGCAGTATGTCTTTAGCTAAACTAGCGTGAGAATCTGTCCACCCAATCGAACAACAGACTTTGCAGCTCATCTCCTGGTTTTAGAGATTCTCCAAGGCACATCTGGCGAATCAGTTTAGACTGACGTGAGCCACCCGACACTTACTCTTCAACCAAGGTAAGAAGCTTAAGTTGACGCCATTGTGCTGCCCGCATACGAGTCCCTGCTTATCGTTCTGGCGCATCCCGTCGCCTAACCCAGCCCTCTGATGATGCGGATGCTCGCTCTTGAAGCAGGGCACCTGTCATTCAGCCCGATACTCCAGTGGAATAGCAATCATTCCAAGTTTGTGCATGCAGAGATCGAACTGTCATTAGTTTGCAGTTGGCGATGCAGGACACAGCCTCTGCATGGGCCGCTGCTTCTGCAGCCCGGTGATGCTTACATGGTTTCTGCTTATAGTAGTGCTGAAGCATTGGCACATACAAAACAGAAGTGAAGTCGTTATGGGAGTCAAGTCACTACGTGTCCCCTGTCCATGCGCATCTTTGCGAAACATACGCATGTACGTAACAGACTGGTGGACATGCAGACTCAACCCAGGCAAAGAATCTGGAGCTGCAGCAGCAGATGAAGGCAGCCGATGTTCAGGAAGTGCACATCGTTGCATTTTAGGGATGAAGAGTAGTGTGGCACTTGCTTCATTCTCAAGCCTTTCACTGGTCGCTCCAGCTCTGCAGGAGCCCTCCCAAATCGCAAATCGTGCATCCAGAAGCTTGAAGCTCCAAAGAAGGTATCTCTCTGCCAGAGACTATTTCACCAGTCTTGCCTTAGTTGCAATACTATCGGCAGTTTTCAGGTTTATCATAGCGCACTTAGCCTTGTTCCCCAAAGGCTAAGCTGTTCGTACCCACAGCCAAAAGTTCTTGCACCAGACCCTCTTGTGTAACAAGACCAATGGCACTGCATATGGCCCTGAGAGTTCGAAGGTCATCTGTCTACACAGTGCTGCTGCTGTTCGCGGCTATGACGGCGACCATCGACGACCACTGCTACTACTGCTACTACCATCACCACTGCCATAATTAGTATTGTCATTGCTACTACTACTGGTGCCACTGCCACCGATGCTGCGACGACGACGAAACCTGGTATTGAAGCTGATTGCTAGGAGTATCAGAAAGCGGCAAGCATGTTCGATCGAGCCCAATGAACGCCGTAAAATCTTGCAACCCTCTTCAGCTTGCTTCACGACTTGCAGGCGCATCCGAGCCGGTCAATGGATTATGCGGACCAGGCGTGCTGATTAGGGGTTGTGGCGGGGGGGGGGGGGGGGGTGTAGAGTATGGGACCTGTCATTCTGGGTTGCTGTGGGCGGTTTTTGCTCATTTTTCAAGGCTGGAAGTCAGAGTTCTTAGCATAAGGATGCCTGCAAGAACCAACACCCCAGAGAAATTTGCAGTTGTTTAGGGCTTGGGGGGTTGAGGCGTAGTGCTGCGAGCTGCACGCCCATGCAGCAAGGAATGGTGGTACAGAAAGCAGAAGTCAGAGCTTGCAGAAGATATATATATATATGTCGTTGTAGTGCTGGAACCCTTGGACGTAGCGAGCTTGCAGATGATGAGACAGCTCCGCTAAGATTCTAATCCTTCGGACAGGAGAGCTTGTGTTACGAGGCTTCAGAGCTGGGTTTCGGCTCCAGGTTCGAATCGGTGCTGCATACTCGCTTCGGTAAGCTAAGCAGCAGCTTTTTTGCTTCAGGGATGATCCAGCTGTTCTGGGGTTTAGCAACTCTTGGGAGGCCGAGGGCAGGGGCAGGAAAGCTGCTTCACCGAGGTTGTCACGCAATACGAGCGGCGCGTGAAGGATCTCATGGATCAGCTGCAGGCGAAGTGCAGCGAGGCACGGCACTGCCGTCTAGGGCTTATGATTATGAGATCAGGTCTGGCAGACGGAAACTTCGGCTTCCGTTTAGCTCTAGACCTTGCTTGACTCATGACTAATGTCCGAGTTTCCGAAATCTTGGGTTGGCAGCTCTGGGACATTTAATCACTCTAGGCTTCAGGATGCTTCAGGAAACCAGTAATTGTGCACCGGTCCACCCAAGCTTCGGCGAGCCCGAGGCACTTAAACTTACCTTTGGTTAGTAGGGAATGGAAGAATGGTAGTAATAGTAGTTGTAATTCTATCCCATTCCTCCATTCCCTACTAACCAAAGGTAAGTAAAGTCCCGTGTCCTAGCCTTGTGGGAGAGCGTCACGATTGTCTCGCTGCACTTGCTATTGTAGTTGGGCGAAGTATGCTCTGAGTCCCTAAGCCCCTAAACCCCTAAACCTAAACCCTAATCCCCTAAACACTAAACCCTAAACCCCTAAACCCTGAACCCCTAAACCCTAAACCCCTAAACCCCAAACCCCTGAACCCTGAAGTGTGTTGTTCAAAGTGGCTTTGCACGAGGTTAATGTGCCTCAGAGCCCCGATCTGACCCATGTTCCAGCAAGCCTTGGCGAAATTCGGAGCGCTTATCATGCCGTTGCAAAGTAGCTTGAATCTAGGGTTAAGGTCTAAGTTTAAGAACTGGTGTTTAGGCTCAGGGCGTGGCGTTTTCTGGAAGGTATGGGGGCCTTCTCGAATACCACCCTGAAGCCAGATGTCTGCCCTTCCAACAACGCCAAGTTCCTTGTAAGTGGTTTTTCTGAAAGTAGGAGTCCCTTTGTTGCTTCCTGAAAATTCGGATCGTACGATTCTTGAGGCTCTATTTCATGGCCCGTTGCTTGCTGATGCTACCAGGTGTCAGGCCTCAAGGAGAAGTTGGGTGCGCAAGAGCTGCAAATGCAGAAAACCCTCCACGAGTCGCGTGGCATTTCAGCTTCCTTGATGCCGGGCTCAGGGTTTGAGGTTCAGGGTTTGGCGTATGGGAAGCAGTTCCGCGCTGGGCGTTGAGCATGAGGCATCCGGGTCGACACCAAACCTGCCAGAACTGCTTACATCTGAGACCGTATGTCAAAGGACGATACAAATGTCTCTGACTCTGTCAATCTCTCGAAGCCGCTTTTATGCAAAGGCCTATCGACGGAACTCGTGGTACTAGTAGATAGATAGGTCCATAGGTAGCTCGCTTCAAGATAGATGGGTAGATAGGCTGGTAGAGACGGACACAGATATGCACGAACAGATACTTGCGTCTGTGCAGCAACAGACTGCACACGAATACATCAAGCGGACATATGTAGACTCAGATAGGTACAGGGAGATACCTCTGCGTACGTTTGTGTATGTACATACAGTATGTATATACACTAACATACACATTTGCATTTGTACAGTTGCACATATGTATATACATATATATATATATACACATGTATGCATATACAAACAAGCAAATCAATAAACACACGTATGTATATATGATATATGTGTATATCTCACTGATTCATTGGTTGACATTGACTGATTGATTGATTGATTGTTTGATTGATTGATCGATTGATTGATTGATTGATTGTTTGATTGATTGATCGATTGATTGATAGATTAATTGGTTGATTGATTCGTATATACGTGTTTATACATACTTGTATCGAGCTATATGTGTATGCCCGTATTGACTCGATAGTTCTGTTGTGTGCGAATCTTTCTCTCACACGCACACCTCCCGGTACGGAGTTTCCTGTCTTGAGAGCCTTTTGCTCGAAGGGTTCGGTCTCGTATCGGAAAGGATGTGCGTCGAAGGTTCATGCTTTCACGACATGCCCTGTTGATCGAACCATCCCAGGCCGGAGAGGGGCCTCGTCAACGCACTGGAGTTCGAGGAGACCATGACCGTCAGTTTCACCTTAACAGCGACTATGTACGACTCTAGCCATAGTACCAGCACTTGCATTAGTACTAGTGCTGGCTAGTTTTCTTGCCCACAGCAGCTACCCCACGGCACCTTGAATGGGACTGGCGACTGACAGTTGCCAGTATGAGATGCCGCAGTTTTTGTCCACCTCTTGCCCGCACAAGGAGCAGCTCTCCGCCAGTCACGAGCGACGCAACACACAGCCAATGGCCAGCATTAGCGGGCTGAAGGTGTCAAACGTTTATCTCGTGTCTTGGGGTTTCTATGTCGCGACCTGCCCTTTGGCAAGGCTTTCGGAGCAGCTGCAAGCCAAGCGCCAGGAGGCCAATTCTTCATGAAAGGGCTGTTCACACGGGGCCGAAGAGAAGAGGAAGCACCTGAAGCAACCCTTAGACCCTTAGGACCCTCAGCAGCACTTCTCCGGCTAATCAGTTAAAGCCACTCCCGGTAGACGGTATGCCTATGACACGTATCCCAATACACCGAAGCAGCTGACTGCAGTCCTTGGGCCTAACGCACCGAGCAGTTTCTGCCTTTGCGCATTGGCACAGGTCGCTATCCTCAAGGAGCACTTGCAGGCAAGGGGTATCTTTGTTTTGCCTTGTATATGTACAAACAAAGTACGACGGATCTTCGTAGAATTCGTAGACTATGTGAATGTATATGCATATGTATATGTACATGTACATACCATATGTATATACCATATACTTCTACACAGTATGCACGCACACTCACACACAAATACACGCGTACACACACACACACATATATATATATATACACACACACATACACGTAGCTTTCATTGCTCACAGGTAAAGAGCGAAGAGATCAAGCAAATCTGCGCGGCCCGGCCTTTTCAGAGGCCGCAGGAGGAGGACCCGCCGAGTGGGTTCAAGAGCACCAGGAGTTTCTTCGCGCAAGCTCCTCCAATGCGAAGTCTGTGATTCTAGGCCCTCCCTGGACCCCAAATAACCTACCTCTTGAAGGAGTTGTAAACGGAAATCAAGAGAAGGAGCCCTAAAAGGGTAGGTTCTCTATAGTTCTGTAGGGCCATCGCCCTTGAACCGAGTCGGAAAGCTCGAAATGCTCTGAGGCGCAAACCCTGAAATCCAAAGTCTTGAACCCACATAGGCTATATAACCCCAACAATGCCAAATTCTTCAGCCCCAAGCAGAGATTATGAACCCCTGAGGACCCGCTGGACCAAAACAAGCGACCCGGCTGCACATATCCTGTGAGGGGCATGCGAGAGGTTTCGGGGTGGGTTTGAGATTCCGGATGGCGAGCTTAGGATGTGCGATTCGAGGTTTAGGGTTCGTGGCCTTTTAGGGTCCCAAGGATCGATGGAGATCAGGAAGTTTCTTTTTCTCAAGGGTCTGTTCGGCTCTCGACTGTCCGGAAATCAGCGCAGAGGTTCGGTTCCAAGCTCGCTTGCACATGAATCTTTTTCAAACGGACAGAGCGCCAACGTGGCAGGCGGCTTGATACACGCAGCACAGTAGTTCCTGACCGATGGCTGTCTTGAAAAGACGGCGCATTTTTCTCGTGCCGTGCGTTTGCTAAGCTTCCCCCAACAGCCCTGAGCTCCGATGTGTGCATCCCAGGCAGTTGCAGGACCTCCAGGCGCGAGATGCAGGTCTATGTTCGTGGACAGTAGTCTGTTTGTGTTCGCGCACACACACACATTTGCATGGGTGTGCTCGTTCGTGTGTGTGTGTGTGTGTGTGTGTGTGTGTGTTTGTGTGTGTGTGTGTGCGTGTGTGTGTGTGTGTGTGTGTGTGTGTGCGTGTGTGTGTGTGTGTGTGTGTGTGTGTGTGGTGTGTGTGTGTGTGCACGTGCCTGTCCGCATATAGACTGCCAGTCATTCGCAGTCGGCATTAAAGGTATACGTTCTCATGACCAATAAATTCTCCGATTCCCACTGAACTTGCTAGTGCTAGGACCAATTTCAGTCGTCATGGTTGATCGCATGTACATGATACATCGCGTTTGCTATCACAAGTTAGAAATTGTCTGTACTGGTAGCTGTAGTCTTCGTTGCGGCAGCGGGTATTTGTATTAGCATTACATGTTACAGTTGAGCATACTTTCGCTGTCCGGTATCATGGTTATTTCTGTTGCATCAGGCTTGGTGTAGCTGTTGCTGTTGGTATGTCTATTTGACTAGTAAAAATTGAGACAACGGTTGTGATTGTCGTCATAGTATATGTCGTCGTACTAATAGTCGTCGCCGCCGTAGTAGTCGGATCCGTTGTTGCAGCCCACCTCCAGGCGCAACAGCTGCTTCTTCTAAAGGAGCCTGCATCTCGGGGCTGGGACTGGGGGCCGCCAAGAAGACTGCAGCATCGTGATGCATGCATGTAGAGCACATGCTCTTTCACAGTATGAATTATGAATGTTTAGATCATGAAGAAGTATGATCACAGGACGTACTGCACGTACAGAAACACGATATACCTATTCATTCGCAGGCAGTTCGAATTGCTGCATAGCTTATCGTCCACATTCTCTGTTGTGCTAGATGCAACATGTCACATACGCATGCATATGATATGCTGCATATGTATAGATAGATAGACCGATAGAGAGACCGATTGATAGATAGATAGGCCGATAGATAGACAAATACAGATGTTGCACACGCGCATGCACACATATGCACAAATTTCCCATGCGGTAGCGAAGTCTGGGGCATAGCAGATTACACCGACCATATGTCATGCGACACCATGAGGTCACACGAGACCGTGCAGGTTGTTGCCGGATCAGAGATCGCTTGTCCCCACTTAAACTTCCCTGCTCCAAAGCCTAAGTCTAAGCCCTGCGACCCCCACTAGCGGTCATTAATAATCACAATAGCCATACTAATGGTAATAGCAATTATTTGTGCTTGTAACAATAGCACTCTTAGTAATAACAACTACGGTACAGCTATTACTCTTATATTGTACTGTGTCACTCGGCTCCCGAGCATGTTGAAAGTTCGTCTGGAGAGGAGCAGCTGGCGGCCCAGGAGGCTGCGCGCGATGACGCCCAGAAGTCGGAGGCACGATCCCGTGTTTCGGGTTTACGGATTTAGTTTTTAGGGGTTTAGGGTTTAGGGATTTCAGGGTTTAGGGATTTAGGGTTTAGGGATTTAGGGTTTAGGATTTGGGGTTTAGGGTTTAGGATGTAGGGTTTAGGGTGGCCAAATTCGCGCTGTTACTTTGACAGTATTGAGTAGTTATGATCATGATTACGGCAGTTGTTTTGATTATTGTTAGTAGAAGCAATGGCGAGAACTAGCTGTAGCTGCGGTTTCCAACGCCACAGCTGTTTCAGTTCCTGTTGGTGTTACGTGTAGTATTGCTACTGATTGTGGCCAAGCGTGTTACTGTACTACTTGTACCATCATTGTTGTTGTCATGGCTGTTACGACTGCCGCTGTTCCCATTCTGACTGTTATGAGAGTTTATGGGGTTCTCAAACTCTCAAATTTCTCGGTCTGCTTGAGGGATCTGCACGAGGAGGATGCTTTATGCTCGAGTCCACAGCGCGATCTCGAGCGTCTGGCGCACGTGTTTGCGGGGAATCGAACCCGTTGTCCCACACACTGACCCAAAACCTCAAAACCCTTATCTTACACCCCAAAACCTAACACCTCCAAAGCTTGAAGCCCCTCATTGCATGCTCACAGATATGCGCCTCCTATACCCTAAGCCCGCTTGCAGACACCCCTCAAATGCCTCAAAAAGATTCGCGGGTCAGGCACGGATCGGCGCCAAAGTGGCGGAGCTTTCGACGAGCCACCATGGCTGGAAGATAAGGAGAGCAGGGCTTGCTGCCATTTTATAGGAGTGTACAGGGGTATAGGAGTTCAGGGGTTTAGGGGTCTAGGGGTATAGGAGTTTACGGGTTCTCTGACTTTGTCTGGGCTTTTAGTGGTTTGCGGGTGCCTTGGTGTTGTTGAAAGACGGGAATGGTTTCGTATTAGGGTAAAGAGGTTTAGGTTTAGCTTTATTGGGACGGGTGTCTTATACGGTTTGGGGTTTAGGGCTTGTAAGCTCTGCGGCTTGTAGCGTCTAGAATTTGTTCATGGAGTTTCAGGGAGGCTTTCAAGAAATTTCCTGTGCAGGTGCATGTCGGCAGTCGCATACCCTAAATAATGACAAAACGTTTAGAGCCTTCCATATCCTGCAGAGCCCGAAACCACTGCTGTCCTTTTTTGGGCGTAGAAAACTTCATGTGATTGAAAACTCAAGGGTTCGGCTGCAGATTCGAGGGGGTTGGGCAGATTAGGGGCTGGGATCGAGGGTGTGCAGAAGACGGTTTTAGGACTGCTCACCCTGAAACTCGAAGGGCCCGATAGCAACAGAACAGAACCAGGACCAGCACTAAACTCACATGAATGAATCATCACCCCCTTAGGTCCAAAGCCCGAAACCCTAAGCCCTAAACCCCTTCAGCCCGGACTGTAAGACCCTAAATCCAACAAGCCCTGAACCCTCAAGTGGGAGCTTCCGAGAATAGGGGACCCTGACATAGTACCCTAAATCGTAGGATCCTTGTCAAAAAAGGACCCCAGAATAAGGTATCCCCTACTTTCGGAAACTCCCAAGCGGGAAAAGCTGAGGTCTCGAACGGCAAAAAGAGGCAGCGGCCGCTGGGGCTAAGCTGCTTCGGGCGGCTCAGGTGGACTGCCAGGCCAGGGATTTAGCGTTTAGTAGGGGTCCCGGGGTCATGTGTTTAGGGTTCTAGGGGCTTACGGGGCTTAGGGCTTAGGGTTTGGGAGCTCGGGGCCGTGTTTTTTGAGGTTTTTGGGTCTAGGGGTTCTGGTGTTGAATGTTTAGGGATTAGGGTTGAAGGTTTAGGCTAGTCCCTTAAATTAGGGGTCGAGTGTCCCTTTCGCATGGACAACAGGGGCCTCGGCCGGAAGCCCTAAGCGCATGTACGACTGACTTAAGACCGATTCCTGCGCAAAAACCGAAATGCTAAGCCCTGAGCAGTACCTAGCAAATCCTGCTAGGGTTCAAGGCTTCGGGTGTAGTGCTCGGGGTTCAGGATTTAAGCTTAGTTGACATGCGTTTCCGGGCTCCTGCACGCAGCTTCGGAGTGACGTATGTCGTGGGAAGTCGGAAGAGGCCCTGCATTCAGAGAGCTACAAGGTAGCACGAACGGAACGCACGGAAGAGGAAGAGGGTCCTCAAGGGGTGGGCCCGTGATCCAAGTGTCGGTTCTTAATTGCAATACGTACATACATACGTTCATACACATGTTCATACATGCATAAGCACACATACGCATGCGCAGCGGCACGCGCACAAACAGATCCATGCACGTCTCCAACCAACGTATAAATTTCTCTCATCTCATCTCATCTCATCTCATCTCATCTCATGGACTCTAATCTACTCTGTTCTAACTTTCCAATCTAACCTAATCTAAGATGTATTGATCTATCGATCGATCTATCTATCCGTTTATCAATTTGTCTGTCTGTCTGCCTATCTATCTATCTATCTATCTATCTATGTATCTATCTCTCTGTCCATACACAGATACATACACGCATGCATACAGACTCACATAGACACTTATCCATACTCAATCCCGCAGGAGATGTGGGTGGTGTGGCAGGAAAGGGAGGAGGAGAGGAGAAGTCGGGGACTGAGAGTTTGAAGTCTCCACACTTCGGCTGGTTTGTGGGAGCGGGTATCTGGTTTCAGGCGCTTGGGTTCGAAAGGGATGGTGTGAGTTAGCTTCTTTTCCTAGTTGGGTTTCTGGACGTGAGTTGTTCCGCAACTAGGTTTCAGGATTTTGGTTTTAGAGTTCATTCTGGGCTTCAGGTTGTTTTTGCCGGAAAGCTTTCGGTTGGGTGAGGGCTACCCGTATGAACGTGTGGTGTTGTTGGAATATGGTGCGATTGGAACTGGATTGAAAGAGCTCTCGCCATCATTGCATCTTGTTCTCATGCGTCCCTCAGCCCTACAATCCTAGAATCCTAACTCCAAGTCGCCAAACCCCAACTCCCAACTCCAAAATCCTGGCCGAAAGCCCCGAACCCTCAACCCGCAAGACACGGGCCTTCAGTCCGAGAGACTCTTCTCCCCACCGGTGCCCAGGAACTGCGGCCCTCCAGCAGCGCATGCAGGAGGTTCGCGGCCAGCAGGAGGACATGGCAGCGGCCTGGAGGCCTCCGAGTCCGGAAGCCATGCCCTGACTTAGCGACCGAGAATGGAAACCAGAACTTTTTCTGTAAGCATGAATGTGCAGCGTAGCGATCAGCGATCACCAGCTGGAGGACAGCTAGGGCATGCAGTAGCCATTTGTTTGCTGAACGTGCTTTGGTGTAGGTGCCAGTGCTTCCGTCAAGTTGGCAGCATGTCAACCGCGTCATGGGAGGTTGCCGAGTCGCAGGTATCCGGGAAGGCAGAGGCAGCCTCATCCATCATCCCGGCGGCTCGTAGCACCGTGGCTGTTTTGCAACCTGCGGAATTGCAAGCTGCAAACAAATTTGTCAAACAACTCCACGACGACGTCGATCCTTCCAAGAGCAAGCTTGCGGATAGCTTGGAAAATGTTGGGCAGAGAAGTCTGGGAAAAGTGTCGTTTTTGCAACAGCACCTTCCAGACAAGCTAAAGCACATCCAGAAAGAAGCGGAGGGAGTCAGGGATGTGCTGGGCACGCACACTGTCGCATCCCTCGGACATTCATCGTTCTCTGACGAGGACATCAAGTATAACCAAGCGGCATTGACAAAGATGCAAGATCAGCTTTGCAACGGCGGCCTGAGCAAGTTGCTCAGCGAAGTGCAGGCAGGTGAGAAAGACTTTGCGGGGAACCAGGGAGGGTACGAGCAGAGCATCAGTAAAGAGGAGTTGCAGTGGCGTAAGCGTCACTCTTGGGCCAAGGGATTTGGCTGGCTTTACACAGCCGTCGCATTCGTGAATCCTGACGTGGTCTCCAAAGATGTCACCTTCGGCATTGGTGCTTTCCTCGCCATGTTGGGAGCTCGGTTCTCGCCCCGTGTTCGGTGGTACTCGATTGCCGGAACATTGGCATGCTCTCTGATTCCGGTCAGCAAGTGGTTTTACTTTGGTGGCCGCACAGACTTTGACAAACTCCAGGTAGAGACCAAAGACATACTGACAGAAGTCAGGAAAATAAAGCACATGGGCTGCAACATCTCCTCCTTCTACCAGAAACTGGCAGAGGACATTCAAGCCATCATGTCGCATGTGACCGTGTTGAAGCAACTGGAGCAGCAGCTGCCGTTCTTGAAGGCGCGCACCTTAGCTGTGGACACTTGGGATGCAAACAAGCTCAGCGCCGCCCTGCATGGCTGGAATCTGGATGCCTGCGCTCTCACGCTGCTGGAGCACAACATCTCTGGCCACGCCTTCCTTCATGTCCTGAAAGAGCAAGACTTTCAAGAGATGGGCATCACAGATGATTTGACATTACGCAGGCTGCAAGAGATACAGGCCCGCATGCAGGGGGAAAGCCAGGAGATCCTCCGCAATTGCTCGGTCGGTCCAAAGTTGAAGCAGGCTTTGGATGACGTCATCAATGGTATCATCGACCTTCAGAAGAAGTACCAGTATGAATGAGACGAGCGTTGCAAAACTGCAATCCGCTTTTTGCAGATCTATCGAGCTAGCAGGGTGTAGCATGTTGGCTGAACTGACTGGGTGCAAGCTCACCAGAGGTCATCTTCGCTTTGCCAGAGCTCGGGGGTGTTATTCTGCGAGCTACAATTCTAGAAAGTTTTTCACTTCAGGGAAACACCAGCTCTGGCCGTCTAAATCAGAAGTGGAGCAAGAGTTGTCGGACACAACTGAAATTCCAAGCGATGGCTTCCTTGCCTCGCTACCTCCACAGGAATCCATCTATAGCCGAGTTGACTGGTAGGCACTCGAGGAAAAGGAAGTCTGCACGTGCCATCAGCAATTAGCATCAGCAGTGCTTGCGACATGACCTGTACTTAAATCGTGCACCCTCCATTCCCCAACTTCCCGAAACCAATAAACTCCAAATCCCAAAGCCCCAAGCTCTAGAATTTAGCAGAAGCGACGTCTCGGTGGAGAGTTCTTTTTTCTTTTTTTTGCATTTTTGGTTTTTGCTTCCTGACCCTAGGAGTCCATGTACCTAGCTGGCATATGTCTAGGACATGACAGGGATGCAGAAGACCTTGCAGGATTGTACAGGATGCTGATAGAAGCTATATATATATATATATATATATATGGCTTTACAGCATTGTTGCAGGGTTTGTAGGGTTTAAGGCTGAGGAGCTGCAACATAGCTCAGCACGCAGCCCTTCACCACCTTGCTGGGTGTACAGAACCCTACCATGCTTGAACAAGTTCACTTGAAGGGCCTTGGAAACTTCAGCAATGCAGCAACTACCCTTAACCTATGGGCATGAATGAAAGTACCATCATGTTTTGACTGTCTGCTATTGTTGCAAGCTTCAATCCCTTTCATGATCTCGTGCGTCGTGGTCCTCATCTTCATCTCCGTCGTCAGACTCATAGTCTTCTTCTGTATCAGCAGTGACATCCTGCTCCTCCTCCCCCTCCTCCTCCCCCTCCTCCTCATCCTCCTGCTCGTCCTTGTCGTCTTCATCGTCATCGTCGCCATTAGCATCAGTATCACCCCGTCACTCGCTTGCCCATCGCCAGACCAAGTCTCAATTCTCGCACTCCTTGCCATGCACACATGCTCCTCAGATAAGTGCCTTGCTTGTACAGTCCCAGAAAGATGCTGCCCAGAGTGCCTCAGCCACCAGACTCACCAGTCCGATCTTCTCTGCGCAAGGCAGGCGACTGCTCAAGCAGCAGACCTGGAGGCGCAGTTCCAAGTCGGGAATGCAACCGGAGGGAGGTCTTTGGTGGGGGGCGGGGGGGCGTTGGAGCAGTGTAGCATTCGGGGTTTAGAGCTGTCCTAAAACTTTGCCATGCCAAGCCTTGGCTGGGAGTCCTGTGATGATGTTGATAAAGTTTTCAGCGATGCAGGATCAGCCCGAGAGCCCGATTGCGAGCACGATTTTGCAAGACTTCGGTCCTACAACTTGCTTGAATCCTGATGGAGCCTTCAATGCCGAGCCCTGGAGCCGCAAGCCACTACACACACACACACATCTACAGACAGGCACGAAGGCAGACAGGGCAAAATTCATATGCCGACTGTCCTTACATACAAGTGGTATCCGAACGGCAGTAAGTAGATTGTCAGTATTTGCAGGAGCCATGACTGTGTTGATCATCTCGGGCCCGGGCTGTGAAGCCGAAGCTGTGAGTTCCAGGCAGCCATGGAACTGCAACACCTGGCAGCTGTGAATGTGGTGCAGGCTCCCAGGGTCCAGCGTTGCGCAAACATGGTGCTGGGCTCACGGGGGGAGTTTGGGGCTCTGGACACCTCCATCACGCACCACCATTCCCACACTATCCTTGCATTGCGTGCCACTTCCCATCCTCCACTTCGTCAGGCAGTCGTTTGTGAGATTGGTTTCTCAACTCTTGAATAGGTGGTTTTGTTACATGCGGACGGCAACAGTGTGAAGAGCTCAGGCTTTAGGACCAGAGCCAGCAAAAAATGGAATGATTGTTTCAATTCATGTCATGCGGCAGTGAGGAGCAGGAGGCTCAGCGACGGCTCTGCGAGGGCAGGACTGCCTTTTTCTTGGAGCTTTCAGCCCTGAGCTCTAATGACCTGGTGGCTCGCGACACCCCCCCGCAAGCTTGAATGACAACTTCTGGTTCTCAGAACCTTCGGGAGGTTTGATATCAGAGTGTGAGAGAAGAAGGGACCCAACCGCAGCCTAAATGTCAGGATAGTGTACTGCTGCAACCAGACTGTGATGGCAATGATGTAGATGAAGTTGAAGATGGTGATGATCATGACCATGGCCAGTTCTTCGCCCAGTATTGCGATTGATGGCGTGGCAGTCAACTCTGAAAGCTGCGATTGAAAACGAAAAACCCATAATGCTCGCTGAGCCATCAAGGGGGATCTGAAGCTCTACAAAGAACCAGTCAGAACAGCAGACACCTTCTTTAACAAGGCTGTGAAAAATCATGGCCTCAGGAGCTTGCAGCTTGCGACAGAGGTCGATGAGCAGCAGGAGACGCTCTCGGAGCTGCAGACGAGGCAGGAGAGAGAGGGATTTCGGGTTTAGGGGGCTGGGGGGTCGAAAAAGGGAATGGGTGTATTCCCTGTCCCTATAGGTTTCCCTTTTCACCCCAAAACCCTATTCTCTTTTATCAAGGTTCCTCATCAAGGCCCCCAGTTACCCCTGAAACCTGCTAAGAACCTGTGTAAGTTAAGCCTTCGAAAACCGGCAAACCTCAGGTTGGTGGAGGCGGAGGCCGAGTGCCGCGCCGAAGCGCTCTGCGCGAGCCCGGGGCCAAAGGGGCTCAAACGACTCCCGGGTCCAATTTAGACTTGTAGGATTTAGGGTTTAAGGTTCACTGTTTTGAAGTTTACGGTTCAGGGTCTTAGAGTTTGAGTTTTTGGGCGTAGTGCGGGTATTCTTACATCTGACAATCTTATACTGCAGACGGTGACAGATGAAATAATAGAAACCTACACCGCAGGTGTATGATGTCATGTCCTCTCGATAGTTCGATACATGCGAGTTTGATTGATACCATCAAGCTTGAAATGATGCGAACTGTTTTCGCAGAATACGTGCCTAGAAGGAAGATTTGTAAGTTGTATACAGCACTCCATCTCTGGTCGCTCCTTGTTAGTCCGAGCTCAACAAGCACATCCATGAGACGTAGCACTCAGGCATGTATCGTTTGCATAATGCGAAACAAGACCACGAGCCCCGAAGCCTCATGGGCCTCGTGCAGGCCGCTTCCAAGCCGAGTCCAAGCGAGCTGAGCAACTCCAGGACATCACTTTATACAAAGGAAGTAGAAATGTGATGGCGCAAACTTCCCTTCTGCGAATAAAGAACAAGATGATCTACGACGAGGCGAAGCTAGTCATTCCCTTGTGTTTGAGCCGTGGTAACGCGAAGCTTTGAGAACGGAATGTGGACAAATCTAGAGAGGAGGCCTCAATCTGTTTGCCCTTCAGCTCATGACCCCATTCAGCCCCCTACTGAAGCCACCGCTTCAGGTCGGTGTTTCGGTACAGTTGCAATCTAGCTGCGACGTTTTGGATACCTTGAACAACCATACAACATATGACAGGTAGCAGGAAACGCCTTGCTCTTCGACCTGTTCTGCATGATAATCGTGTGCAGAAGATGAACGTGTTCAGAAGACTGATGTTGATCATGCATCTTGCAACAGGGCACGATAAGCGGAGCATCACCGTCTTGTGGAGAATGCCGAAGACAAAGGAACCCTGCACACCGCATATGTTGGTTATAAACCCTTGGTCATAAACACAAAAAGCGGTTGTGCTGGGTTTCGGGGGTGCTTGGGATTCGGGTTTCGGGAAAGCCGTACAGCCCCGAGCTACGAAATATGGACCTATTCCCACAACAGCACCAGTGCAACGCAGCAGGAGGAGGCTTCCACGCGTTTGGAGGAGGCCACTGTGTGTTGGCATAGAAGAAAAACTCTAGATTCTAGTCGTCGTCATCGTTGGTGTCATTCGCGGAGTGGGCTGTGCTTGTCATCCCGCCCGTGTCTCGCCGGGCTTTCCCCAGCTAACATCCGAGGGTTCCAGTAACACGCGCAAGGGAAGGTAGGGAAGAAGGGTACGGATACCTTCGGCCGGTTGTTTCCGGAGCTCCGTGTGTACCATGCAGGCAGAGCAGGCGGCCAAATTGGTCGGCAATCTGGAGGAGGAGACCCCGATGTCAACGCAAGCACATGCTGCTCTGGGATTTTGTTGCAGTCGCCAACTTGCCTCTCTCGGCAGCTTCTGCATCCCCCCGCTGTGCGCTCTGCCCAGGAGGCACGCAGCCTTAGTGAACGCTTGGAGCTCGCAGAGCAGTTTACTGAAGGCAGGCCTCAGGGTGTTACTAAACTAAACTTGAGGGTCATTGGCACGGGTGTCCGGGACGTTTCAAGGACTCTGCGCTGAGCATTCGCTTGAGGGTAGTGATTTGACCAACACCGCCACGAATTTTTGCAGCAGTGCATCCAGAACTGCTTCGAATGGCTATCTTGGGAGTACTGATTGGGTCACTTGGCGGAGGCTGTCACAATTCACGATGTCCAGGGAAGTCGGGTTGGGCATCTGTATGAGTCGCAGGGAAACTGTGCAAACGGCTGAGAGGCTACGAGCGTCGCAACTCCGAGTTAGCTGAGCAGCTCAATGGCAAGCGCAAGGACGGGGTCAGAAGGCACGTGAGGCAATCGTCGTGTCAGCGCTTGTTGGTGCAGGAGCTTGCGAGTCTCAAGGCCCGCATGGCTGCAAAGACCACGGAGCACGAGGAGGGACCTGAAACGGGAGTCTAAGTCTCATGGGATGAGCCGGGTGCTGTTTGCGAAGCATGATATTTGTCGTTTTTTCCGGACCCTGCCAATAATGCATTTTTGACCAGTTATGCAGATGTTGTCACGGGAAGTGCAGGCATGATCTTGCATCCGCCAGGAAGCCATGAAAGCTGCAGAGATCGAGGCCCGTCATACATTTCTTGTGGTGGAAGACACCCGAAACAGGCCATGAAGGTTCCCGTCTTTCTTAGATTTTTGCGGCAGCCTCCTACTCGAAGGGGTAGGCCCCTGAAAGCCTCAACTCAGAACACGACGGCATACCGCTGCGGATCATGATCGAAGTCGCATGCATAGTATATGGCGGGGTTCATTGTTCGGCCTTGCTTTATGCAGACAGGCACAAACGCTTCAAGCTTGGCAACTTCCTCATCATTGACATGCTCGGCGAGAAACATGACCTAATCCCAAGCCCTATAGTCCCAAGCCCTAAATCCTAAACCTTGAGCCTCATGTCTTCACTCTTGCCCTATGTTAGGATCCCTAAATCCTAAACCTACTATTTAGGGTACTATGTTAGGATCCCCTATTCTCGGAAACCCCCATGTCTTCACTCTTGCCTCGTCAAGCGCCAACATGTGCCAAAGGCTCGGCAGCTCCAAGCTGCATCGCAGGAGCGAGCGCACAGCGAGGCTTTAGTCGAGGGTTTAGGGCAAGGTGAGGGTTTGCGGTTCAGGGTTTAGGGTTTGGGTTTTTAGCATTCACGGTCTTAGGGTTTGGGGTTGTAGCATTTGGGGTTTTAGGGTATAGGGTTTGGGGTTTTAGCATCTGGGGTTTCAGGGTATAGGGTCTAGGGCCGTGTTCGTCAACCTTGTGAAAGACTTCAATCAATGTTCAATAAAGTGAGGGCTTCTTTAAGGAGGGCTCGATATTTCCTACTACTGCTGCTGCTGCTGCTCCCACTACCACTACCACCAGCACTGCCACTGCCACTGCCACCGCCACCGCCACTGCCACTGCCACTGCCACTGACTACTTCTACTTCCACTTCCGCATCAACTTCTACTTCTACTGATACTACTTCTTCGTCTACTACTGCCGCTGCTACTACTACTACTACTACTACTACTACTACTACTACTACTACTACGACTACGACTACGACTACGACTACGACTACGACTACTACTACTACTACTACTACTACTACTACTACTACTACTACTATTACTACAACTATTATTAGTACTATTACTTTACAACTACCACCAGCTCTGCTACTTTTGCTATTCCCGTAATCGGTCAATAGGGAGAAGTGCTCAAGTAGTTCTTATCATCTTCTTCTTCTCCCTCATCACTATCATAGTCTCATTGGTCATCATCATCAGAAGCAGCATCGTAAGAGCGACGAGTTGCAAGAACCACAGCTTGCAAATTCGCTTGTCCATAATCTGTGCCTCTCCTAACAAAGGCTCTCAATGTGCACTCAAGCCGACACAAAGCTGAATGATTAACCCTAAACCTGCACCCCTAATTTTTCGTATTCAGGAAGGACGAAGCCCGCATTGCGGGTATGTTTGGTGACAAAATCCTTAATCCTGAAGCCGAACTTTAAATTAAAACTAAACGCCGTAAACCCTAAACCCCTAAATCCTGAACCCGAAACATGCCTACACCGTAAAGCCGAATCTGAGCAGGCCGAGATGGCTGCCCAGGCCAGTGCCGAGCTCGCAGAGCTCCGGCGACGCTTCGCCGGGCTCTCAGGCAGTAGACTTCAGTTTGGGGTTTGGGAGTTTAGGGTGTTTGGGGTTTGTTTCGAAGGTCAGGGTTTCAGGTTCAGGGTAGGACAAGACAGCCCAATATCCCATCTTATGTGATATTCGCCTCGAGCCTGTCAGAACCCACTCCCAGGAGGACGACGGTCTTAGCGAAGCGAGAGCCATGGCGAAGATGAGCGACGAGCTGGCTACGGCAGCGGACCTAAGTGTTTCTTTTTGAGATTGGGGGTTTAGGATTCAGGATGTTGGGATTTTGGGAGTGGAAGTGTAAGGGTTGTGCAGGGGTTTGGCGTGTAGGGCTTAGGATGTCAGGACTTCGGGATCTGGGGTGGGCGATGTAGTGTGTTGTAGGGTATCTAAAGGCCTATTCCTGCTCCTACGCTAACTCCTGCTCTTACTGCTATTCCTCCTCCTCCTCCTCCTCCTCCACCATTTTTTCTTTATCCGCAGGCTACACAAGCGAGCCGAGCCCGGAACAACACGGTGGAAGCAGATGTACCATGTACACACAGACATGTGTGTGTGTAAACCATTAAAAATAGATAAAACATGCATGCAGATCATATACGCATATATGTACGAAGACAGATTGAGAGATGTACAAGTATTGTACCTGTACACAGAGCAAGAGCTGGGACGGTTTATTTTATGCCGATGTACACGATGTATCCTTAGTCTGAGGACACCTACCGTAAATATGTGTCCCCCCCCAACCCAACTCTCCCGCCCTAGAGCTCCAATATGGGTAGCTGTCTGAATTGGGATCCCGTTTTTTAGGTCCCGAAATAGCACGGCACCCTCAAAGGGACCCGAATTCAGAGTACTACCCTCATACTACTCTTATAGAACACCTATACAAACCCTTATAAGGAGCCCTACAAAGGGACCCTAATTTGGAGAGCTACCCCCATTTCCAGCGGATCCATGTGACACCTGGGGCCGAGGCTCACCAGCGATCTTTGGCAGCACAGGCGGTCCAACGCCAAAGCGTGGAGCAGGCCTTGACGGCGCGAGGTTACCCATCGGCCCCAAAGTAGTTCCTTTTTGGGGTTCATGTTTAGACTTCTATAAGGTAATCCCAAAAAGGAACTACTGTGGGGCCTGGGTAATGGGGATCACTCAAGTACGCCAGAATGCATGCATTTTTGCTTGATTGAAATTGGTTTGAAATTTGTTATCTTCATTTCAGTATGGCATTATAGACTACAGTTGAGCACCTTAGTGAGTGTTGCATCACACTCGCCCCGTGGCTGCGGAGCCAAAAGCGGGGAGGCTCGCGCCGTCGAGCTGGAACTCGAGGAGACGACCGCAGCATTGAGACGGACACCCCTGGGATTCAGAAAATCTGATCTTGGGATTTTGTTTCTGATGGTTTCGCAGCATGCAGGGCAACGGCTAGGGGTTCTGGTTGGAAGATTGAGGTCTGGTGTATGTGTGTGCGCGTTGATTAGACTGTTTGACTCACCTCGCTCTCTATCCCGGTAATTACGTTCCGTTTGCTCGCTTGCCGGCGTGGGTCTGTGCTTGAAGGGAGTCAGTCGAATCTATGCGAAACAGGACTGAGGCGGCCTGTGCTGCAGCTCAGGCAGGCTGTTTTGTTGGACATGCTGCGCTCGGGCTCTGGTTTTGGATGTGGCCGGGTATGAGCGCAAAGGCTTGCTTGCAGCAGAGAATTGGTGTGTCCGACTCGGACTGACTCTTTATTTGATGGTCATGGCTGACTGTTTATTGTGACGATGATGAAAGCATGTGCATGCTACATCTGATGAGTATGACAGCTTGCAGGAGTAGTGGTTGAGCATGACCAGCTTTCGAGGATAGGCTTGTGGTTACATGTTGATTTGCAAGGTGGTTACTGATTCCTGTTTCTGGATTGGCACGATTACTCCTCGCCCGGCTAGTCCAGCTTGGGGGGTCAGGGGACTTAGTAAGTAGCTAGTAAGTAGGCTTATAAGTACCCTAAAAGGGACCCCAATTGGGGTTCTGGTACTTATAAGTCCCTAAAATAACCAGTTACTACGTCCCCCGACCCTCCACGAGGTCTGAGGCAGATGACTTGAGCCAACCCTGCCCCTGCGCAGACTATCTGAATCCAAACTCCTCTGTGACCTCGCAAGCATTCCGCCCTCAGTACAAGTAGCAACCTACGTATTTCAGGCGGAGCACGAAGCCCTGAAGGCCCTGAAGACCAAGATTTCGGCCCTAAGCCCCAAGCTTTGCCCCCGCCGTCCTTAGAGCTTAAGCTTTATGGCTGTACAGACTTTGAGAGGCAGATGTGGCCCTTGCACAGCAGCGGTATGCCGCGCAAGAGGGACAGCCAGGGGCCGAGGGCACTCTGTGGCGTTGAGTGGGAGTCTGTCTCTTCGCTTTTACAAGGGCCTTTCGGATTGTGCACCCCGACCTAAACCCTACCTATAGTCTCCATTGCAGCTCCCTTTTTTTGGTTAACCAGTTTCAGGGTTAAGACCCTATAATGGAGCTTTTGGTTAACCAAAAAAAGGAACTACAATTGAGACTATCGGTAAACCCTAAACTTTTCAGCGGCACATGCTTCTCGCAGGTTGGAAGCTTTGTCTGCCGAGTTCGAAGCCAGCGAAGCCCGCAGCTTTGAGCTCGAAGGTGCCCAGTGCTGCTTTTTGTGGGCTTTTGTTCCTCCATGAGTGCATCTCGAGAAGTTTGGGGAGTGGGGCTGAAAGGCAGTATCAGGTGCAAGGGTGAGGGTTGAGGGCAATTGAGCTTGTGGAGATAATGTCAAGAGAAGGCATGCAGATCTCCGGACGTCAGCCCGTTCTTCTTGTGCGGCCAGTCACGTGTTGAAAAGGGGGTTCGGCCTCGACACTGTGAATGCAGGTAACACCCGTGCTTTTCCGAGCAGCTCTGCGCAATGTTAATGGTGATTCTCACCGTTACGTCTCCTCTAGTAACTCTAGTAGCACCTGCCCATCGGCCTTTCCGATGGAAACGGCACATGACAGAGTCTTTTGAGCTCGACGATCCGTTAGACGCTTGCTCCATTCTTCGCTGATTTCCTAAACTTCGCATCATGTACGTGCAAGGTGCCCTGACGCAGCAGCTGCGACATCTCGATCCCAGCATAGGCAGAGCAGTGATTCGTTGTTTGGTTGCTCGTCTTTTGGCTGCGCCTGGTAGATGTCGAAGGGCCGGCGGTATATAGCGCCGTGTTATGTTTGTCGGTATTCACATCGTAGTTGTTTTGCATAGCCGCCGCTGCAGTGTCCTTTCTCACACAAGGACCTCCCACCCACTGGCACAGATCCGTGAGTGCATGTCCTACTGGGTCTCAGAACATCAGGGCTTTTATTCTTCGAACACACAATGTACTACGATCTACGGATACTGACCAACACTCAGAATATGGCTCTGAGAAGTACATTCCAGTATGGGGAATAGTATTGCTATGGTTTCCGGTTGACCTCAGACTGGCACTTTTAGGGTCATGTAGGGCTGTAGGGGTGTAGGCTGCCAGGTTTCAGGACTAGGGTCCTAAGGTTGTAGGGTTAAGCAACATGAGATGTCTGCTGATGGAGTGGGATGATCCATATCCATAATGTTTCATGTACTTGTGTATAGATATACAAAAATCTACACATGTCGTCTGCAGGTTGTGCAAAATCGGAAAGTGAAATGGCCTCAGCATGAACCAAACAGAACTCGGTCGATGTTGTTTGTTTGATCGCACGTGTATTCGTAGCGTGGCAATGCGTGGCACACTCAGTAGTTTCACATAGTAGGTCACTTTCTTTCATCCATTTCTGTCTCGTCTTGTGCTTTGTATCTGTTTCAGATGGATTGCGATAGGTGGGGGGGGGCAGGACGGACGCAAAAAGGGCGTGTATTTCTTTGCATGTTCGCCTTTTGGGGCCTTAGGGCACTGCGGTCACAACGACCAGTGTTCTGCTGTTGTTTGTGGAAAAACAAGAAGTTAAAGAGTTCGGAAATGGCTAAAGACATTAGTCCTGAAGCCTTTTTCCGAGCGTGCCAGACTCTCCCCCATTAAACGTTTGTCGTACCTGCCCTGAGGCGTCTTCTCCCCAGGCCCCAAGCTGTCGTCCGAAACCTTCAACACGTGATCATTAAAAGCATAGCTTCTACGACAGGGAAGATCGCGAATCCCTACGTCCATGAGAGGTCACAGCCTGCGCGGCGTGAGCATCCACCACCTCTCAGCTCAGTTCTTGGAGTTGGTCTTGCAAGCAGGCATCGGTATGGAGGCCCCTTGCTTGGAGAGCAAAGTGTAGATCTCGAGCGACTGCCACTGCCACTATTCATACTACCTGAATTGCACCAGCACCTGCACCCGTACCGGCATCCATACTTGCGCCTGCACCAGCACCTGCAACTGCACTACCACCTGCACCGGCAACAGCACCAGCACCAGCACGACGCACCAGCAGCACGCATCAGCAGCACGCAAAGGCAGCAGCAAGAAGAAGAAGAAGAAACATGTAACCAGGATTTATTGCTCTATATTGCTCTTGGGGTTGACTAGGCTGGCCTTGGAAGTAGCCGCTCCTATGCATCATTTTTTCATTAGCTTGAGCATGGCACCGCCGAAGGCGAGCCTAGAGGAGGCCGCCTGCTGCGTGGCCAAGGAGAGGACGGAGCAGCTTGGCTCGAAGCTTCTGCTGTCTGGTGCTTAGTAGGGAATGGGGGAATGGCTTATGGAGACCATTAGTGGGGATTATATATTGGGGATTATATAGGGGCTATACTAGGGGGATCCATTCGCCCATTCCCTACTAAGCACCAGACGGTCTGCCAGTAGCAGGCCTTCAGACCGCTAAGATTAGTCAGGTTTCATCAAAGAAGATTCACAGGGTGAAGTCTGCAGCGAATGTTCAGGCCTTTGCGGTTGTGGGCGTCTTGCTGAGCTTGTGGAGCTCAGAGATTGCAGAAATGGAAGTTCAGGTAGGCCTTGTCGGGCTTTGCATGGTGACCTGAGGGCTTTCGCTGATTTGCTGCGACTTTGCGGGGCATGTGATTTTTAATGCGCAGTTCCAAGGGTTTTGAGACATTGCAGGCTGCGATGGGATCAAGGAACATCAACAAATCTTTCCCTCCAGCAGCAAGCTTGCAGCACCTGAACTCTAAAACCATGAAGGCTGAATTCTAAGCACCTGGAGCCTTTGCTCTGCTACTGGTATGTGGCACTTAGGATGGTGACTTGCCCACGAGATGGCTTGCAGGGGTCTGCGTACGTGGAGACCTGGCATTGCATGCTTTTCTTTGCAGGGCCGTGCAAGTGAACGCTTTAAGGATCTGTTTTGGCCTGTGGCACTTCTAGAGCATCAAAGATTGCATTCCTGCTCGGACCAGTCTCCGAGCCTCTGTGCCTTAGGTTTTTCGGCTACACTTGTAAATTTCTCAGTCGATGACTAAGCCACAGCCCAGGATTCCATCTACGGCCCGGAGAACGCTGGCCCGGCGACCCACATGCTCAGCTGTTCGCCCCGGGACGCGGTTGGCGAGGTGGTGGGCGCGCTGGAGGAATTCTGCCGCTCGGTGAAATCGTACGAGTTGTCGGATTTGGACTGCTGCGAAGAAACCTCGAGTTGCCATGCATGCAGCCGGTCGTTTCAATCGGGTTGGTCTTTCTGCATCTCGGTGGCAAGGTTAGTTCGCAGTAGAGGTCTGGGAGGATTCCACGCTCTTGATATGCCAAAACTGGAGTCCCGAACATCGACAAGCTCTTACTCAGTCCACATCTCAGGCCACGACCGTGGACTCAACCCTCGGCAGACCTATGTCTGGAGCTGCAGCTCTGTTGTCGTGCTTGCTGTGTATTTATTGATCATGGTAGCGAAAACTCTTCGTGAAAGTAGTCAGTAGCATGAGAATGGATGGGAATGGGATCGACACTCCTTCAAGCAAGCTCGGCCACCCTAAGTGCTGGGGCCTTGATGCGACAGCCGCAGACTAGAACCCCAGCTCCTGCACACAGAGCTCCTCAACATGTTTCTTCACAGTAAAGTTCCCAAGGAACAGCGAATCCCAAATCCCCAAACCGGCAAGTCCAGAAATGTTTGAAAATCTTCAAACCTCAGACCAGCAAACACATCCGAAACCCCCAAGAGCCCCAACGCCCCTATTGAAACTCCAAAGAGGACATGCAGCCTCTGCGTGAACCTGCACCGCTGCCCTCCACAGCTCCCGGAGCGAGTCGCCGACTTCAAGAGGTCTTCGAAATCAGGATTTTGATCTAAAGCCTACCCAGAAAAGAGGTGCTTATATAAAGAACACATGGTTTTAGGGCTTGTGGTTTTGGATTCAGCGTTCAACATCCGAGTCCGAGAGGTATGGGAGCCAGATCGGAAAAGTTCTGGTGATCCTGATGCCTTGGCACTATCCTGGCAGCCTCGGCAGCCTTCCCAGCCTCTGTGAGCTCTGGCAGGCACGGACCCGACTGCAAACTGTTGACAGGAGTGTTGCTACTACTGCTAGTGTAGTCGTCCTGGTAATCCAGTAGAAGTAATCATGGGAGTGGTAGCAGTAGCAGCAGCAGTAGCTGCAGCAGTAGCTGCAGCAGTAGTAGTCATCGCTTTCTACTCGGGCAGGTAAGGTTGCTTTTGTGCCTCTAAGTAGAGTCGGTCGAGTGTCCAGACTGAAGGCATTGCGGCTTGCTGACAGCAGCACGACATCACCGCGGCATGGCTTTTGTGATCTTGTTTCCACGGTCGGCGCAACATCAAACGTACTCATCAAGCTGATTTGAAGGGGCAAAACTGACAGAGCATCTCTTACCATGTATCGTAGTTGTACATTGTACTGAGAAGGCGTCATGCACATTTCGAGTGCATGGAACAGTCCAAGACAGAATTCTATAACAATCAAATTCCTTTGAACCTCGGAGGCATGATCCAAGCAGCACGTTGATCCGGAATCCTGCGCCCGGCTCATTGAACCACAGCCTCCAACTCCACACCGATTTGTGCACTCAAGCCTCGGCATGCTGGACTGCCATGCGCTGTCGTGTCAGAGCCCGGAACATTCACCCTTATCCCAAACAGTCCAAGCTTTGTCTCAGGAAGGGTCTCTCACCCTCGCGCGGGCGCAGAAACCTGGCTTGGGCAGATCCCGGAGGCCTTGGCGGGGTTCAGGGTTTCTTGCCCGACTTTGGGGCTTGAGGCCGAATGCGGTTAACCTTTGGGTATCATAGTATCTGCAACCACCACATCCACAGCAAGACTCCAGAAAAAAGTCGCAGCAGTACTGGCAGAAAACAGATCAGGGGCGAACCCTTACACTAAGCAAGGACGGAATCAACAAATTATTGAGCATAGCTTCATTCAGGCGGGACTCATAAGATTCCAGCTCGGTAACTACACGTTTCAATCGCTATGCATCGTCCTCAGCCCCAAACTCGACATCTTGTGTTCCAGGCGATTTCTTACTGCCGGAACTCCCAGATCCCATTGTCGACTGAAGAGCTTGCGAGGCTGCAACGGCTGCGAGGTGACTCTGCTACTGCCGCCCAGGGCCGCACAGATGCTGCGCGAGGATTGGGTCTGGGTCGAGATTTGGGAGGGTAAAGGCTGAAGAGGTTGAGTGCTAGAGATATGATTGCAGATCCTTCGCACAGCCGTAAACAAAAGCAAGCATATCATATCACATATCTAGTTCGACTTCACAGAGGTGGGTCCAAACCCCGGGCTCCCAAACTTGAGGCAACTCGATCCCCTGAAGTTGGCTCGAAAGCCTCAAGCCATCAGAGCCAAAACTCCCAGAACTACGGAACATGAAGCCTTCCAGCTTTTTTTGCTACTCCATCGTCTCTCAAAGCCTGTGGAGCCCTAAAAGTGCAAGAGCCCCAACAGCTTAAATCAGGATCTGGCCTATGGGGAAGACGCTGCCATCCGGGCATGGCGGGGTTTGCAGGGCAGTTGGCTCCAGGACGCCGGTAGTGTTTCGACAGTGCTGGGTCGAATGGGTTTATGGTAATGTAGGAACCTGATTAAGAAACCCGGGGCCTATAATCCCAAAATAGTAGGATTCATATAAGGAACCCCAATAAAGGCCCAAGGTTTCTTAATCAGGTTCCTACATTATGGCTTGATGGGCTGCCGATCTTGGGCTGTGGGTTTGAGAGGGTTTTCCGCCCAGATCACTGTGAGAGAGAACAATGATCACTCAGCAAACGCTGTTCCCCTGATCAACCTGTTTGTCAACCCTGCGAGTCGACGTGCTAGGATGCCATCACCGTCCATGAAGAGCAAGCGCCGCTTCTCGAAGTGCTCGGCTGTGGTCTCAATCTTTTCAAGGCCGCCGAGTGGGAGATTGAAAAAGCAAGAACCATCGTATTATTCAGAAGCTGCCCCACGAGTTCTGTAAGCCGCCTGAGCCGGGCTCTCCGACGCTTTCGGGTTTGGTGTTTCAGGCTTAGGGCTTAGGGCTGTAGTGATTGTATTGCTCCGATCGTAGGAGGCCAAATCGGGTTTTAGCCTATGGGGGTTTAGTAGGGACTAGGGTTCCCATCATAGGGGTCATATTTTGGAATCCCTACCCCAAGAATCTTAAACCCCCCTTTTGGCCTCACATCATCCGAAGCACTGCTTTAAGTTGTTGGGACCTTTCGAGCTTTTGGGGCCCGTGGCTTTCGGGGTCCAGGGCCTACAGGGTTCTTGGCGCCGATCCCGAAATTGTGAGGCGGACTGCTTCATGACCCGTGCCTTGCAGCAGTGGCTCGCAGTAACCCTGGAGAAGCAGCTACGGCTCATGCTCACGAACTCGGCCCTGAAGGCTCTGTCGGATTTGGGCTCGAGGATCGAGAGTTTGGTTTTTGCGGTTCAGGCTTACAGCTGTAGTTTCGATTCAGGTCCAAGGTTTGGAGTTGGGGTTCCGGTGGTAGTGTCTGAACTTGTGTCTCGGGAGGTTGGCGGTCCAGTGGGTTGAAGCTCAGATTAATTAGCCTTGCTGAAAATGTGAAGGCATCGTTCATGTTGCTGCAGCATCCACTTCTGCAGTGCTTCAGCAGCTGGACACTATGACCAGGTGCTGCTGATTGCTTTAAACCGAATTCGGGACTGAAGCTGGGATTTCTTGTCGGTCGTATCACCCGAAAGCCTGAAGCCCAGCATACTTCTTGCTTGAGATATGTTTCTGCCGGGTCCCTCAACTTTCTAGGCAGACGAAGCCGATCGTCTTTTCGATGCGGTGGGATGGCTTCTGGGCGGAACTTGATGATAGGTCTCAGTGCCCCAGGCTTGAAAATTTGGATTTGCGGCTAGTGCCTGTTTGAGTTCGCCAACGCATGCCTGCCCGCCCATTCGTATTCTAGCCCCCTTGTTCCCGGCGTGATAGCAAGCCTGGCTTGCAAGTACATCGTTCGCTCTTTGTCCAGGCGAGCGGATCAGTGTCGGATGCGAGTTTTCAGGTTCAGGTTTCCTGAGGGCACTTGGCATCGAAGGCCAACAACATGATCGGTCGACAAACTGAATCGTGAGCTGCTACGAAAGCCCGTGAACAAATGTTGGTCTCCGTGTCATTAATTACCAGGTCAGGAGCGAGAAGGGGATGATGGAGAAGATTACCTTGTCCAAAGGGTTTACGACGACACTCACCTCCTCCTCGTCCTGGTCCCTATCGCCGTCATGATTATCACTACCATCGCCTTCACCACTGCTATCCTCGCCGACACCGACACCGCCACCACCACCACCACCACCAACACCACCACCACCACCACCACCACCACCACCACCACCACCACCACCACCACCACCACCACCACCACCACCACCACCACCATCATCATCATCATCATCTGCGACACTGCCAAAATGCTGCTAGCGGCTAGCAACCATGACCTGATGGAATGTCGAGGATGCTGTGGGAGACTGGCCTTCGCGAGCTAGCCGGAGCACCATGGCAGCAGAATGCAGCAGACACTTATGCCCTGGTGCCTGAAGTATCGGGTTCCGAGCTCCGGACTCATGCTCTGCAGCCTCGCGGTATTGGTTTTCATCCGAGGATTGTTCTTTTCAGAGGTAGGGTAGACTTGTGCAGCACGAGGCAAAGTTTTTGGGATACATCCACATGAAGTGTTGAAGTATGGCAGTTTGTGCAAGGATGTCCAGGCTGTGTCGGTATGCAAATAATCGGGCGAGGTTGCGCAACCGCTTTCAAGGGGCTTCCCATACGAGAATTGCGTAATGTTCGCGAAGCGGCTATTATCTCTCGATGGGGACCGCATGTTCGCGCTGCTGGATGTCCTTGGTTTGCAGACTTACATGCGAAGCAAAAAGCCGCGAACATTGATGGCTATGCCAAACCCAAGCTAGTCATCGGCCCTGATCTGTGCTTGGATGTCCAAGGAACTTCTCCAAGATGGGTCGGGGCCCTGGCTGCTTTTGCCGGTGCTCATTTCGTTCGGGTCGGTATTCTGTCTTCTGTTTTGCCACTGCTGCCAGGCTACAGCTGGCTCTGCAGTCCATCTTTCCTGCCAGCTCCTGGGCTATGGAGTACCATACTTTAATCCTGTTTTGAAACCTGTTACTTAAATTAAAGGGAACCAAACCAATTATGAAATAAACGTCTATACTTCTTTCCCCTGGTTACTTCAAAGCCCAGGCTCGAACCGCGCTGCGGCTGCCAGCCGCCTGGAGGTCAACAAAGCCATGACGAACCTCGAGGCCTCCGGCACTCGGGGGCAAGCCGACTCTGCACCCTATGTGGCGTGGGAGTTTCCGAAGCTTCGGGGTCCTCAATAAGGATCCTACTACTGAGGGTACTTTATCAGGGTCCCCCATGTTCGGAAAAACAACTATGTGGGGACCTCACAAGTCCAAGAAGTCAGCTCAGCCGGGCCTTCAACCTGTACGGTCCGAAGAGTGCCGAGAGTCCAAGATGTGGGGTTGCGAGGGTGGGGAAGCTAATCACAGAGTGTGCCGCCAAGACTTCGAGTCCGAAAATGCCGCAATCACCTTTAAAGGTCTCTCTGAGCCAGGGCTTCCCTGTGCCTTGCATCTGGGGCTAGAGGGTTTTCAGGATACAGAGAAGCCTTTGTTGGGTTTAGCCTGCTTTCCATCAAGATCCTGAAGGCTTCAAAACATTGAAGCACAGGTGTTCCAGTTGGCCGGCTCGCTCTTCGAACGCGCGGGCCAGCAGGACGAGATGTCAACTGTTTGAGCTTTTGGAGAGGCCCAGGGCGATTGATTGGGTGGTTTCAGTTTCGGTCCAAGCTATTTGGAAGTTTCCGAAAATAGGGGACCCTAATATGGTACCCTAAATGGTAGGATCCTTATTATAAGGACCCCACATAAGGTACCCATTTCCGTTCCCCTTGATAAGGGCGTTTCAGGGCCCGAGCCGAGCCCAATTGCTTCCCATGCAAGCAGGACACGCCGAGTATCGCCACGCTGCTGACCCACATGGGCGTTGCCAAGGGTGATGCCGGGGATCACCAAGGCCGAATGCCTCAAAGGAAAGTAATTAGACGTCAAGGCCTTGGCTTGAGACGGCATAGCTACCGGAGAGGTAGCGATTCTAGGAATTGAGAGGTGCTTAAAGCAAGACTGCTTTGGCTGGCCAGGGTTCTTACCATGATCGGCTTAGGCAGGCTCCTGCATACCAATGCCACTTCGTTGGGGTGGTCATCTCAAAAGCCGGCTGTCAGGTTCAGGCGCATGAGAGAGCATCCTCACGCAAAGTGCAGACGTGTCGTCAATTCTTGTTTAAAAGGCGTCAGCCTCCATCGTTGATCCGTGATTTTGACACCACCCACACCTCATGTTTTGTGTCCAGCTGAAACGGCGCGTGGGAAAGGATGGATGGACACTTATGCTCACTAGGACACCCACTGAGCTCTCTCTAGCGAGGGTAATGCGCAGGCTTCAAGAAGTCCTTACTCCAATTCTTGTAGGGTTTAGGGTCTAGGGTTTAGGGTTTAGGGCTAGGGTTCTTTCTTTTGCCAGCCTCTGCCCAGGGGCCATGGAGGCCTTTTGGCATGCTCGGCGTATTCGCAAGGTGACGGGCACGCTGGAAACAGTGGCAGGCCGGATGATGCTCGCAGGATGAAGGGGTCTGACAGTCTGGGATATTCTGGGATTAGGGTTTAGGGTTTTGGGTTTAGGGTTTCGGACTTGGCGAATGGCACGACAGATAGCGACAGGTGTGGGTGCAGAGGATGCTTTCAGGCAAACAGAGTTGCTTAGACGCTCAGGATGTCGGAATTCTGATGTTGTCCCAGGTGGCGTGAAAGGTTGTACCCGTGACAGTATACATCAATCGAAGCCACAGCTCGATGGTGTAAGTGGCCGAGAGTGGCCTAGAGATTCCACTTTTTTAACCTAATCAATACCTGCTGTGGCTACTCTTTACGTGAGCATTTGTGAATGAGAACTTACCCAGCTCCTGAACCCTGTGGATTTCTCAAGCCCTATATCCCGGAGTTCTCAAACCCCAAATCTCAATGCCTAAACCCCCGAATTCCTGAAGAAGGCGATCTTCAGAGCTTCTGACTCTGACAGGTGCCGTGCTGCTGTGGAACATGGGCTTCGCGCTGGAGCAGCGGCTGAGATCGAAAGGTGGTCAGAGGCAAATATAGGGGGCTCAGCCATTACCTTTCGAAGGGGTCTATATGGAGTTACTATAAGGGTTACTACTGAGATCGAGACCCAGAGGGTCCATATTAATGACTACCACAAATTTATTATCAGGTCCCAAAAGACAATGTCTTGGGAACCTATTTCCATAATAGTAGTGTGCATGGACCCTCTTGGAAAGCTGGTCAGAGGCTCCGCACATACGTTAATGTAATGCGGTGTGAGGAAAGGTAACCCGCTGCACCACACTAGTGTGGCGTTGCATGTATGTATGTGCTCCTTTGTTTTGTCTTTACCGATGAGCTCCCATGTGCTCATGATCTCGTTGTTTGTTACTTTCACCGTCGAGCAGGATTGGGACTGGCCCGGTTCCAAAGCCCACCTTAAAACACCCGAAGCCCCATAAGCTGTATAGCTATAGTTGCCTTACCTATTTTCCCAGATACTACGTTCCGTGAAGGAGACCGGCCCTCCTAAGCCCTAACCCCCCAAAAACGCTAAGCCAAGCGGGGCCTGCCGGCTCTGCCGTCCATTACTCTGACAACAAAGGCTGGGTGACTTCGAACGGGCCTACGAAGCCTACGAGGTATTTGGCCCTCAAGTGTTTGGCAGTGGATCTGAGGAGTGAAAGTTGCGATTCCCAGTTCTGTTTGCAAGCGCGGTCTTCCCCCTCTCTCTCAGCAGCTAAAGTCCTCCCCTGTAGTCTAGATTCTAGGGCTTCGGGTTTCTCTCACACACTCTGCCTATCTCGCAGTCCGTGCAGCTTCTGTGAGGCAAACGAGACGGGACGTCCATCAAGACACCGCATGCTTGCAAAGGGAAATGCAGCACCGCTCAGGAAGAGTGTTGATAAGTGCGAGAACATGCTGTGCACATATGGGAAGACCTCCAGCTCTCCCTGACATTGACATCCTCTTTTGAGCCTTGAGCCCTTCCAACCTTGTGACTACCACACATAGCAAACTAAGGGTATGCGCCGGGAATTATTTTTATGATTATCTTATGGTTTTCTTATGATTTAGGGGGTTTTCCCGTTTACGATTTTGATACGGTTCTGGTTACGATTTCACGGCTCGGAAGGCAGCTCGGCTGCAAGTCTTAACACCATATCAAAAACCTAGCAAACACATCAAAACCAGTCCTTGGGAAGGCTGGAGACGTATCGAAATCGTATTGAAATCGTATCAAAATCGTAACGAAATCGTATCAACATCGTATCAAAATCGTATCAAAATCGTATCCAAACCGTATCCAAACCGTATCCAAACCGTATCCAAATCGTAAACCATGTCAAAATCGTATCATAATCGTAACCGGAAGGATCCTTGACATCATATCAAAACCGTAACATTAGTCTAAAAATAATTATTCAATGAAATGCCAGTTTGCTAACACTCTGGGAGTCACAATTCCAACCTCTGGGGAACCAGACTTCCCACAAACAGGCCGCGAAGACGCTGCGCCGAGCGAGCGGGACGCTCGAGTCCGCGGCCGGGTTGCGCCTCCAGCGCGCGCAGCTGAAACTGGAGCGAGGTGGCCCCGGAGAGTTCGGGAGACGTCGTGACTTTCTTTTTAGTTTTCTTACAGGGTCGATGGACTCAAGGCAGCCCTGGCTTGTCTTGTTTCTGTAAAGTGTCTGTGCTAAGTTGAGGGATTCGAGGGCGAGGCCCAACAGTCACTTTGCTTCAGTCAATGCGTGAGTTGTTTTTCTGGGACGCTGACGAGTAATTAAACATAGTAGTTTCATCTCAGCATTGTGGTATTCATTTGGAGTTGAATTTCCGACCTTGTGATGCTTGGCTGGAGCATGCTATGCAGTTGGCTGGAAGGTCTCCATGGTGCGAACCACGTTACAGCTGCCGCCGAGCGGTCGCCGCCCGCAAGCCGGATGCAACCAGGTGGGTATAGAGGCTGCTGGTGGCAGATCGAGCCGACACATCATTCAGGATCGCATAGGCTCGTAAATAGCATTGCCATTGGGGCCACGGGTTGGCGGTTTGCTTGCGTCCTTCATCACCCCGGCTTTTAGTAATTTGCCAATCGCCAACCTTGCAGCGTGATCGTTCATGAATGTCGCACTGACGGGATTGCTTGACGTTTTCGATTCATTTCAACAGCCAAGGACTACTCACCACATTCCATGGTTTGGGAGCGGATACGCTTCTTGGTCTGCATGCGGGGCATGGCTTGGTTGTTCTCTGCTCTCTCATTCTCAGTGCAACAGTACATTATATCTTCTTGCTGGCAATGCAGCGCAGCTGTGTAGATGTGCCATAAGAGCGACCCGCAAAGTCGAAAACCGCGCGGCACTTCTCGAAGCCTTCCGCCTTAGACGAGTTTAGACTTCTTGAGGTCGGGCACAGCACCGTTGTCGTAACTCCGTCATTGTCTTTAACCGTTCGAAACAGAGCAAACATGAGGGAACATACTGATACTGCTTGGGGTTGGAGCGTCGGGTATCCGGAAGATGGAACGGCGTTGGAAGGAAGCTCTGACGGCCTCGCAACCTATTGAATTCCAAGGTCCTGGACCCCAGTCCACACCGTAGCCATATTGAAGCCATGGAGCCTTAAAGCCCCCTGCAGACTCCCCCTCGACGTCCTTGCGCACGCTGGAGACGCCAACGAACCAGTTTCTGTGAGCCTGACCTCGGGCTTCCAAGTTTAGGTTCCCTAGGGTTTCGGTTGGGGTCTAGGGTTTCAAAGTTTTACATAGGGTTGTAGGGTGTCTTAGGTTTAGTGGGTTTAGGGGTTCCGCAGGGTTTAGGTTGGGCTTGAGGGTTTTGTTGGTTTCAGGGTGCAAGATTTAGTGGGTTGAGTGGTTCCGTAGGGTTTAAGGTGTGGCTACCCGTTTTCATAGGAGGGAATTTTGGAGGAAAGAGAATGGTTCTGGCGTGGATTGCGACATGAGTTTAAATGTACAAGGTACATATACTGTATCTAGTCAACGATGAACTGTGCCATGCATGTTGGTGCTGCCGGGTCTCTGCTCTCGACCCCCGCCCCCAGCACGCGATACTCTAGGATATTCAGGTGCAGTTCCTCGTGCACCCAAGGACCCCGAAACTTGTAGGGATTACCAGAAGTTTGCAGTGTAAAGGAGCTCACCGAGACGCTCGTTTAGTCTCAGGTTTTGGAGTAGGCATGGAGTCCTAGAGGCTTTGTAAATGGGTCCTTTAAGGATGCAGCCAAAAATGGTACTTCCTAAATAATTACCCATACTCTTTCGGGGGTCCCTCACTATGAGTATAGTCTAGTGGGCCCCAAGACCCTATTCCAAGTATTAAGGCCCCTAGAAACAGTACCCTTATAGTAACCCTTTTTATGGATCCCTTTAAAAGGAACCCTATTCCAATTATTAAGGCCCTTATATTCTGCCCATGCTCACAGATCCTTTATGTAGGCCATCTTGCTTCTCGCCGTGACCTGGTGTTGCTCTTGCCTGCCGGGATTTTGGGTGTGCTTGGGCGAAAATGTTTCTCCCCGAGCCAGTCATGTACAGCATCTCCCCTCTACATGGCGCTGAGCAGAAAGTCATGTCGGTGCCATGTTTCACAATCGTGCGGAAACAGCACGTGTCCTCCGCCTGCCATCGATGCACAGGCTGCACAGGCATGTAATGTAGTGTGTCCAAATCTCAGCTTGGCGTGCCATGCCATGATGCTTGGCGTCATACAGACAAGATAGGCAAAGAGCACCCCAAGATAGTGCAGAGCATTGTCGGCAAGTGAAGGGCCTCAGCCATTGTTAGCGTCTCCAATCTCCCGGCAGCAAAGCACTGGAGCTCAATGTCCGCAAAGCTTCGTGGCCAGAGCTGAAAAAGACGGTCTTCGAGCACTATGACTAGAGTGACCATAAGCAGAACCGTGACCATAAAACTGACGGTCAACTCCCTGGTACAACCTCCAACACGGCATGCTATCACAGGGGGGCTGATCAAAATTACAAAGGCTCCAAACCAGAAGGAATTTGATCAGCCTACATGTGGTGGGAGTCACGTTGAAACAATCGCCTGCCTTCCGAACTGATCCCAGCCGCCTCGAACCCTCTTCCCTGAACTTCCGGTTCAGGGTTTAGGGTTTCGTAAGATGTCAAACTTCTTGGTGCCTGAACCCCCAGGGCTTTAACTCATGGAACCCTTCGTCTGAGCGCCCTACTTGAAGGATCATGGGACTTAGTAAGTAGCCAAAGAAAGGGCCCAAGAGTCTTCAAAAGCGTACGGGCAGGGAAGGATGGCATCCTGCGCCTTGAAACTTCTAGCATGGCCCCGGTGGCTGCGGCCTCAGATTCTCAGTAGCTTTCGACTGTTCAGGTTGACGAACTGTTCCGGTGGGTTTCGAGCGAAAGTCTTGAACAGGGCGGTGGGCTTCAGAGCTGGGAGGTTTGCTGTCGTTTACTTCTCGAGGAATCTGGATCTTCAGATTTCGCGAATGCATGTCGGCCGGTTGTCCTGTTCTTACGTTTGTCAACTACA